TCAAAATGAATGTTGTTTGCGTTTGGCAAAACCTCCACTGAACAAGCTTGGGACCTAGCTGTTGCGAGGGAAGGTCTCATAGTGAGAAGAAGTCATAAAAATGCTATGAGAGACAACCGCAAAGGGAGCCAGCCGGGGGTATTGAAGGGCGTGTGTGTTGAGTTAACGGGATGCCTAGAGGAATACTCAGATTTCTCTGCATATATGTAGTCAGGGAGCAGTTATGAGAAACCCCTCTCACAGTACACCCACCTTCCCCACTTTGATGAAAATTGCAGATTTTCAAAACTATAAAGAAGCCAGGAAGACCTTTGATGCGGTAGGGACTCGAAGTGCGTTGTTTTGAGAAAACCCCAATAAATAACTTGGTTTCGGTTGAGGTCCGTTAGAAAAGTATGTCGCTAACCTCCGTACGACATCAAAGTCGCCATACTTGGCAGCAAAAAGAAGTGAAACGACGATTTCAGTGTCCCGATTGCCGATCCTCCGTCGAGGATCGTGCTTTTTCGAATCGGCATGAAGCAGACTATCATAGTTATGGAAGTTGAACGCTTCAATTAGCTTCTGAAAGAAAGCTCGACTTCTTTCCGTCCGCGCTAGTCTCATGGAACTCGGAACTTACCTGACAAAAAGCTACTCCTCGTGTCGAATTGCCCAACTTATCCAATGGTGGTGAGAAAAGAGCAATTCCCATGAGATTCGGAACAACAACGATCATCACTCCAGAAACACCAGATTTTGCTGGTAAGCCAACCTAAATGTGATGGAGATGAGAACCATGCGATTGGTAAGTATTCTTGGGATGCGCCTTGCACTTCATCTTCATTCAGAATTGCGAAAGGTGGCAGTTACGGTATTCATCACCTCCTTCGCCACCGTTTTTTGGATTTGATGAGAAAAACAAAGTAAAAAAACAAGTCCAGAATGTTAAGACAATCAAGACAGGTATAGCAGGCTTTGTAAACGGCGAATATAGCTCGATGGACAGCGCCCTCGGTTTGCTACAGTGATACTAGGTTGATTCGAAAATGATACGCCTTTTTCGTTGTATCACTTCCAAAATTTCCCGGTTTTGATCATCTTTAACAATGAAGACTACAGCGTTAGCCCGTTGTACCTATTAGGGTTGCAGCACTTCAGGACGAAGGCCAGTATTTGGTGAATGCAAAACCTGGCAGACAGGACGTCCGACAGAGACTTTCACCAAATCTTCTTCTATGAGTTCAAGCTGTAGGTAGCTCGGAATACGAAAGTAGTTGGGGACTGACGACATTCGTACGCCGTCGAGGGAAAATTGTAAAGGTGAAAAAGTAGACACGTGAGGAGCGCATGAACTGAGCGAGATCTAAAGAAACTGCCGTTCGGAGATCTGTTCAAAGCTTCGATACGCAACAAGACAAGAACGATCCATTTCTCAATCTTACCACTACAAACGATAAGAAATCGGAGCTAAACGAAAGCAAGTAGCGTCCTGTTTACTAAAATGACAAGGACAAAGCTTCAAGCAGCCCTTGATGTCAAGAATGCACCCGTAGAAGTGTCATGTAGGACAAGTTTGCGAACCTGGCAAGACCTTCACGGCAGCGAAGTACTTGGAGAACTGAAGGAACTGCAGCGGATACTCCAGCTCAGTCAAAGTTTTTAGAAATAAAGCTACTGAAGCTGAACGAGTTCAGCAACGAGACTCTGACTTGATCTACCTATTCGCCAGACTTTTCGCCATCCAAATATCGCTTTTTCGACTGTCTGAAGAGCTATCTGCGGGTAAGTCCTTCCAAGTCCAAAGCGGTGCCAAAGACGACTTTCGGAATTTGCGGAATTCAGAAATTCTGACTTTCATGCAGGCGGAGTAATAAAGTCAACTTATTACACTCTGGCAAAAATATTTGGCTAAAATGGACTTGACCTCGAACGACAGATTTGATTGAGGAGGGTACCAAATTTCAGGATAGCGATTACAAAAGCTAGAAAGAGAGCTTCAACTCCAATCAAGACCTGCTTTTTAGAGTAGTTCTTGTTTTTGCTAGGGTTTAGGGGCACGAGAAGTTCGGTCTCACCTGGAAGGCAAATTTTCCAGAAAAATCGTACATTCCACACGAATACATAAGTGAGAGAACGTCACGGCAGGGACGTGGATGGATACAAAGCTCATCGGTAAGCGGACAAACACCTGAATTAACAGATTAGATCCTATTTGAAATGAGAAATCAATCAAGAATTCCAACCTCCATTAGCTAACGTAGCCGCCATTACAGCTGCGGTGTCACAATTGGTTTCCAAAGAACAAAGTTGAAAATAGAGATCTAATTCTTCGCGAAGACCCTATAAATCATTAGGGTTTTTCAAAATTTGTCCTTTTAATCTCTTTGAAATGCAATTCACCCCTCGACACACCTGTGTGCCCGGTGGAAAGCATTTGTTCTCCTTCNTAACAGATTAGATCCTATTTGAAATGAGAAATCAATCAAAAATTCCAACCTCCATTAGCTAACGTAGCAGCCATTACAGCTGCTGTGTCACAGTTGGTTTCCAACGAACAAAGTTGAAAATAGAGATCTAATTCTTCGCGAAGACCCTATAAAGCATAAAAGTTTTACGAAATTTGTCCTTTTAATCTCTTTGAAATGCAATTCACCCCTCGACACACCTGTGTGCCCGGTGGAAAGCATTTGTTCTCCTTCATGTAGTATGAGAGAGCATAGTTACGATCAGCTGTGTCCCTCTCAGATAGGAATCTGAACGATAGTCATTAGACACTCAAAATGGGCTACTTCATAGGTTAAATCATTTTATCACCACATCGATGGGGAATTTCGAAATCAATTGATTTTATGGGTTGATGATGAACGGCTGTTCTCCCCGGAAAATGGAATTCGCGTAGTCACGTTGTTCTATTCCCTTTAAAGGCTTAGGCAAACAACGGGGAGAGCGGCTCACGTGGGATGATGTATGGGGGCTTATGAAGAAGGACGCCACAACTATGATTTTGAAATTTTTGAAGTGACTTATAACTACCGCACTACGAAAGACATCATTTGTTTACTCTTACATTGGAAGCCCCTGTCCCCAGAAAAAAACCACTCAATCAGGGTTAGAAAACGCTGGTCGTGCTTCCTCTCGTCAGCAAAGAAATGAAGGTTAGTAAGGTTGTAGGGCAAGAGATAAAGCACGAGGTGCCCCGGAAACAAGAACCGGTTCGACTCCTTCCAAGACTGTAGCTTCAGCTCACATCTCACCATTTTGAAGGTAAGCCTCGACAAGAAAAATTCTTTCAGTGCCGGAAGTCTAGGGGTCCTGAAGTAGTCCTTCTCTTGTACTTTACTCTTTCGCAACTAACACCCCTCCCTCTACCAGGTTCCCTACCCAAGCAGGAAAGCACAACAACCACTTTCTCACTGATACCTCTCGTCCTATTGATAAGAGCAATCGTGTGACTCATCCCTACATTCCTTGTCTTCGGGTGTCAAGGCCTATCCATGAAATCCATCATAACCATTATACAAACAATCTTAGGTCACTTTGTTCTGCGGTTAGCCAGTAATAGTAGTGGGTCCGGTTTGTTCTGTACTAAGTACTTCTGTAAGAGTATTGTATAGGTAACTCACGTTGCGTTATTAAACCCGACATGTTCGCCGCCGGCGAGCTTCCGGTACTCGTTCAATACAAAATCAAATCTATCAGCCATTGTAAGGTGATTTCTTATCAATGACGTCACAATAATAGCACCAGCATTGATAAGCGGATTATGTGGTTTGCCTGTAACAAGTTATCTTAAAGGAGTAAGCTGATAACAAAGAAACAAGGCGTAAGATACCATTAGCGTCCAAGCAGATTTCATTGAAAAGTCGTCCGCTTGGCTCATGGCCGACGTAGGAATGTACAAAATCGGCTCCCAGATCCGATGATACTATGGCATAGTTGAAAGCCTAAGATGGATCTGTGAGTCGGGATACGGACGGGAACTGGTTATAATGATATCTTACCTTTGACACACTCTGAACACAGAACGGAACTTTCGAGTCGCCAAAGGAAACCCGTTGACCATCAATGCTACAAATTGAAAGACCCCAAATATCCGGATTTTGACGAGCCAATTGAGGGATGTATGTGGCTACATTGCCGTCTTTAATATGGCTACACTGAAAAGTTCTGCTTCATTTTAAGTTTCGAGTTTTGAACTGAGCAGATCCTGACCTCTTCGAATATGGCTTTGACTTGACCACAAAATTCTCCCCAACTTGGGATGATTAGGTGATTACGCAAAGCTTGTGAGATCAATTGCATCGATGGATGAATGCATCTGAAAATCAAAAATGGTTAGGGAAAACGTTTGGGAATTGAAGTTTCAAACTAATAAAATGAAAGGACCACGTTTCTCATTCAAATATCTTCCTAAATATCATATCTAGCTAAATCGGGAAAGCACAACAATGTGCAGACACTATCTGATTCCAAAAACATTGGTGGGAGGTTTCAGCCCTAGTGAAAAAAGAATCAAACTCGGCCCTTTCTAAGGAGGTTCCACCCAGTGGACTAAATAAGTCTGTTGGGAGTTTCGGTGCCGTAATCATACGCAGAAGAGACAGTGGGTGGCCACGCAAACACTTCCGCATGTACGATGCAGGGCAGTAAACCCACGGGTAAGACGACGGGGTGCCTTGTAGTAGATTGGGACTGTGTTCCATCATTAACAGGCATTCAAGTCAAAACCCAGATTCCGCGGAAGGAAGGGTTGCTGTATCTTTGAGTCCGAGGGGGTCTGGAATGTGCCTAATCTACCGTAACATACAGAGTGTAAGTGGGAACAAAGAGCCTCATTGTGTGTAGCCTAGGTTTTCATCCGGGACAATATTTGGAGTTGGCCTACACGACGAGTGCTGTTTGAGGAAAGATTTAGATGGGTTAGGCCTTACCTTAGAGGAGAAGAATTGTCAAGAATGATTATCTTCTATTGATCATCTACTTACCAAAAAATAGGTTTAAAAGACCATTTCAGGATTAAAAAACTGCTCGCAAAAAAGAGGTAAAAAGAAATGAAATTTCCGACTAACTCTTTAAATTTATCCCGAGACAATAGGAAGTTCCGTGCATCATCGTCTTCATCCTCAAAGCTTTTCATTCTATCCATCATATGCCGTAGTCGTGGATCAGATTCTCGTAGTCCGAACGATTTAAGGACCTAAAATTAAGTTCAAGCTCGCTAAGGCTCATTTATGAATAAATAATTTTATTTATTCATTTACTGGAACTTATTTTTTAACTTACTTAAACATTACAAACAATTTTATTAAACTTTCTATTGGCCTAACACTTTGAAGGCACAACATGGCTAATGGTTCAAGAGCTGTGCTCTCTCCCTCTGCCCCAGCTTCTTCACAGTTCCCGAAGTAAATGGGAAACCGAAAAGAATGTCAATACAAAATTTGATTTTATAAACAACCTGTGAGATTTTTTCAAAAGATTAGAATAATCACTGGGGGAGATGATTGACGGCGAGAAGCTAGCTACTGGTAAAGGATGAAGTTATCGATTCGTTTGCACAACCTGAGGCAAAACAAAATTGTAAGATCTCCCTAATCATAACAACTTCTAATTAGAACACTCATTCAGCTCTAATTCCCATGGAAAACCCTAATTACAGTTCAGTTAGCACTCTAAAAGAAAATTTATTCTATTTGTTTTTTAATTTTTCTATTTCCTAGTTCGTTTTTCCCTTTTCCCCTATTTGACGGGGCTCAGTGGTTCAAAAACCTACTCTCTAAACTGCCTGCAGAAATCGATTCGTTGAGTATTCTTCTACTAGACTTGCAAGACTGATTAATTGAGACCGCCTTTCCTACTATATAAAGCAATTAAGCACGAGCTGGAATCCTACTTAAAGCTCGTGATACAGCCTTACAAAGCTTTCGCGTTTTCTTCCAAGACTGAAGTGCATGGCGCATCCTAAGGCCCTTGCTTTTTTTTTTCGCGCAAAACGTAGCTATTTGAAATGAATGCGAATACTTACCTTAATCAATTTACTGATGCTGGCCTCTTCTTTGTTCGGCATTTTAAAGAGATCAAAAATGAGATCTTCAGGTGAGGAATCACGAAGTTCATAGGCATGATTTAGACCTTCGACCGTCTTCGACATAATCTGAGCTACGGAGGTCTTACGATTGAGAATCTCCCCAATCGCATTCACTGAAATCGATGATTAGTCATTCTGTGAGAAGGCACTTCAGTGCAAATCTTTACGGCCAGCCGACCGCTCAACCGCTATGTTTTGCTCGAAAGTTCGATCGCCGACGGGGTTTTTCTAGACATTTAGTACATCAGAAATCATCGATTCCCCAATGCAAAAGTGCAAAACTGACGCCTTTGTTCAGGGAGAAAACAGTGGGGAATCCTAGTGAATCACCACCGTCCCCATTGAATCGTATCGTCCGGGAAATGTTGGCAAATTCATCCCACGGAAAATCTACTCTGTATATTGACACAGGCTCCTATCATTTCCCACAGTGTCTTTTGGTTAGAGCGGTGCAGATTTACGTCAGCAATACGGTAACCTTTGATTTTCACTGTTGGGCGTTTGCATACTCGCTCGTAGTCTAATTCGATAATCTGCTAATGTTCTCTAAGAGAAAACCACGTGCAACCGGAAGAATGTCTGGCGATTCGATAAGGGGAAGCCGGCAGTCGCCCTCCTTTGCCCGTTTAATAAAAATCCTTATCAGTACGAAAATTTTGAGACTATCCACATGTGCTAGGTTTGGGCGAGCCTACTAACNAGTCGGTACTGCCTTGCATTTTGAAGTATTCTTGTGGTGTGACTGTTGACCATATTCAAAGGCTAGTGATAAATTCTACCAAAATAAAGGTTTCCTGGGCTGTTTCCTATTTCCTACAGTTTATATAGGCCCTTATGCCCTAGCGTGGGCACTTTGCACCCATACTGAGTACTTAATCGAAAACAGCCCACGTAGGAATTGACATTTACTCACGGTTGTGCTGAGAATGAGCTTCGTTTGGAGGAGATTGACCAAGTAGAGGCATGTTCATCTGAAAGTGGATAGAAAAAGAATCAATCTATCTAAAAGGAAAAGTGGATTTTCTCTGTGGTAACGCAACGAAAAAGTTTTGGTTAATGTCACGGAAAGGACATATTCAGAACGGCGAAAGTAGTGTAACATGGTGGAAAGGCGAACAACAAATCACTTGCTGATATTGATGAGATACAGAATACATAGAATGAACCGCACAAAAGGTGGAAGCATAAGAAAATGCCTGGTGAAGATTTGTCTGGCTGGAGAGTCACGTCATGATCGACTCGTGAGCAACGACGGCTGAGCTTGAGAGTGTGGCATTGGTTGGAGGCAGAGAGGTGTTGTGCAAACCGCTAGAGACAAATTGACAGCGCAGAGCTAGCGACGGACCAGAGACAACTAGACGGAAGCGCTTGGATGTGGTGCTGGCGGTGTGCCAAAAAAACATCCGTGAAAAAAAGCATGAGGTCTCGAAATATTGAAACCTGGGCGCACTTGGCTTTGGCCCGGCGGAGTGGTCATGTGATTCTCGGGGGGAACGGAATGGGCCGTTTGCTGTTTTCATTGTTTTGCAGCTGGGTAGTCCCTATGGGACGGGGGAAAGGGCAGTATGAGTCAGGGGGTTGGGGGGTTGGAGCTGGTAGTATGGGTATATGACGCATTTGGCAAGTGGTTAGAACAGCTGCCCGGACGGGATGCCCCACAACGGCGCGCCCGCTCGATACGGGCGCACAAAATGGCTCGTTAATATGTATCAAGCACACTTGGCCGTGTGAACTTGGATCAATTTTTTCTTCCCAGATGGCAATGAAGAAAAAAGGGCTTCCCACTAGGGAGTGGGGAAGGGGAAAAAGGGGTTTCAAAGGGTTTCGATGGGGAATTTCGATGAAATCCCTTTCAAATGAGAAAAAGTTGTTAGGACAGACAAAGACAAAAGGTCAAACTTTGTGGCTTTCGAGATGGTCGCAGCCGTCATTGTTACACAAACATGCATTCCACAAGGGTATCCCTTGACGAATGTGCGGGACGATAGAAAAAAACCGAAGGAGAGAGAATTGAGAGAGAAGAGAATCCACTAGAAAGAAGCTTGCTTGCAAAGAATGATTCAGATCTCTGGCATCTACGGGTGCACACTTTACGATGGTACAGACCAGATGAGAATTCGGAAAAAAATCAGAAAAATTAACGGAGAATCACTTACGCCTCCGTTGTCTTTGTGACTGAAGTCGGCCTGCTGTAGATCGATCATTGCGGTCAAATTCTCTCTCTGTGACGATTCCTGAAAGAAATGAAATCGGCTAAGTAAACGATAAAGAGGGGTGGCTTTGAGAACGGCAGCGGTCGAGGCATTTCCTCCACGAACGACCAATTTGTTGCCTTCAATAATTGAAGCGTATAACAAAGCTTGCCGGACCATGACAAACGTTGGTCTCCGACTGATTTCCGGCCTTTTTTTTCATCGCAAAAATTGAACTGCCAAGCCAACATGGAGCTGTCTTTCTACCGAGGGAGGAAAAAAGGAAAGAAATAGTTCACGCATGCACGTCTGCTGTGGGTTTCCCGGTATCAGTCGGAGGCGGTGATTAGAGCGATTGAACACCACCACGCGATCAGTGACGAATGGGGACGTACGGGGAGACCCTCGTGGAAAACTGCTTAAAACACGTGAGATAGTCAAGATGTGGAGGGTTCACCGTTTGAATGACACCGAGAAATCTGGGGAAATGGAGTGGAGCCGAGGCGGAGACCGAGGGAAATCGAAAGCGTTCGTCCAATGACATCACTAGACGAGAAATCTCTTGAAATTTGGATTCCAGTGGAAGACAGAGAGGCTACAAAGATGGATGAGACACTGCTCCGACAGAAGCTCTTTTTAGTGCGGTCTGGAAGGCGGTCCAAGGTCCAGCTTGGGGGAAAGAGAAGAATATCAAGTAAGAAAGAACACTTGGGATGTTTTGTACGGCTAGTTCTCCCACCCGAGGCTCAAGAAAGTAGCTATAGAAGCGGGAATCTCCCCGAGAGTTGAACAAAGTGCAGGATTTCACCTCAAGGAGAATTACCCGGTGACGCGTTACCGTACACCCTGCCACTAAAACGACTGGGCTAGCAATGCTTGCGCCTCCAACGGGATCTCTCGGGGAAACCGAAGGCCACCATGAGCGTGCTAATGTTCCGAGAAAATGCTGGAAATGTCAACGAACGAACGGGCAAACGCTGAGCGCATAAGAGCGAGCAAGAACGGCTAGCCGCCGCCGCCACCACTAGCAGCAGCCTCCTACATGACGACGTTTGGTCGTTTTGCAATTCTAGAAAGCTTCGCAGGGCGATAAATCGTGTACGATCTGCATTTTCGCGGACGACACATCGTCCAGTCGCTCCCACCCACCCATTCACCAGTCACTAGCGCTTGTGGGCGGAAACTGCTGCCGGCCGTCTGCCGGGCGGTCATGCTGAACATTACAATAACTAGTGCGCCAGAAATGTTTAGACTGGTAACGTCAAATGTCGAGATACTATCTATGGGTCTAAAATTAGGCAGCCAGGACTTTTGAAGGAACAAGAATAGGTATAACGAGTTGGCGATTTGGTTACGACAGCCTTCAGACAGCCTTTCCCTCCAAGGCACCAAAATGTTATGGGAACATCCGGTTTGCTCAAAAATTTTACTCTAAAGGGGAACAAAAAAAGCACTAGAAATTGATTTCTGAGAAATTCAGTGGAAAGGGGGAGGACAAATTATTTAACGTCCTAAAAATGCTATGATTCTAGCCATTCGATCCCCGTTGCGTTTTATGAGCTATGAGCTCTATTTCGTTTTACTGTAGCTGATTAAATACGGCAGCCAGGCTTTGCTCAAAAGAAGCTCAAAACTATTCAAGGAAAAGTTTGAAATTCATCATGAAGGCAGTCAATTGGTCAATACACTCAATAAACTGGTAGTTACTGCCAACCAATCTAATTTTCAAGCGAAATGGTTTTGCTTAATATCGCAAAACACCTCATTACTGTTGAATTTTCTCCGAAATTTATGTCATCAATGGGAACGAGGCATTCGAATATTTTTGCAGTTTCGGACGGGAGTCGAATGTCGAGCGTTCTTTGGAGCTATTAACTGTCACAGATCACTTTTCCATTTTTTTTTTATTTTTCAACATCTTATAGCCACAGAATAAACATTATTTGGTTAGTTAATAACGTGTACAGTGTTTATCGAATAAGATTCATTCTAACAGTAAATAATAATAATAAATAATAAATAAAAGTTCGAAAATAAAATTACAGTAATAACATTATTAGTATGGGATTAACCTGAAAAAAAAATGTGGAAATTAATAGCAGTATCATACTACGAACAAAGAAAATCGGAATTCTATCCAATTTGGAAAATAAATGACCATGGTGGTAACGGGAAATGATTATTTACTTGTTTATTTAGCTATTGTACTTGTGAGAATTGAACTCAAGCGGGACCTGAGGAGGTTCGGGAAATAATTAGGTGAGATCTTCCTTCAAAATGAACTCCTGTCGGATTATTCATTTCAGAGAGAAACCATAATCGAAGCCTCAGGAAAATGATGGGCAGAAAAGTGTATCTTAATGATTTTTGAAGAAAAAGCAATTGCTTCTTCGAATTCATTTAGTCTTTGGTTTCATCGTTCTCTTAGCTCTTGGAAATGGGTCGCCATCGTGATTTCGAACAGGGCCATGCGTGGCAATTTATTTAATTTTACTGTTATTTCCTTATTTATTTCCCTTTTTCCCAAGGGAAGGAATTTTTTTGAGAATATGACCCTAATCTCTCTTCGCCATTGAATTGTCAGTTGCAAGGGGAAGGAGAAGCTGGATGGGTGGGTAGGTGCTTTGCTCTACAATTCACCACTCAGAATTTAATCATCGAACATAAGCAGCCTGGCCCCGATCATACAATCCGAATCAAACATCCAAGAACATCCATTCACCAGAGAGCAGGAGCCCAGTATGGTAATCACATCATCAATGGTAATTATGATCATCACAATCATACATGGAGCAGCACAGTTTGAGGCCAATAGGCGTTTAGGTACAGCTTCTGTCTATGCCTTGTGAATGACCACCAAACAACTGGTAAACAAAGAAAAACGAACAAGAAAGTTAAGTAATTCAAAGTGTCCGGGAG